GATGGTAGGGCAGTAGGGAAAAGGAGCCCAGGATTTGGAGAGGGGCTCTGGAATAACCCAAGAAGTGGAGGGGTGGGGGGGTGGGAGGAAGACGGGGAGCCTCCTAGCTGACACTGAAGAGTCTGCATGAGTCAGAGAAAATTATAAATGAAACGGACCAAGGCCAGATCTCATTGTGGAGCTGATCCAGATGCCTATACTTCATGCCCTCTAGCTACCTCCATTCTCTAACCTCTGCCTGGGGGGTGGGGGTGGAAACGGGATTTAGGAGCCTTCATCGCGGGGGTGCCTGTGCAGCCTGTCCTCATCCGCTACCCCAACAGTCTGGTGAGTCTTAGTTCGAGAGTGGGGAGGGGGAGCACAAGTCCACCCTGAATGGGGATCAGTGAAAACCGCTAGTGCCACCATGGGATGTGCATGTGGGGTGGGTCAGGGTCAGGGTCAGGGTCAGGGCCTCTGCTCCAAAAGGATTGGCCAGTTCCGGGGAAGAAAAGTAATGCCTTTCTCCCCTCACCTCTGCTTACCGCATAGGATACCACCAGCTGGGCATGGAGGGGCCCTGGAGTGTGAGTAGTGGTGTTCTTGGGGTGAGGGTGGGAAGTGGGGTCCCACAGAATTCCTGGCGCATCTTCCACCTTCCAGACAAGGTGAATAGCCCTTCTTCGTCCTGGGACTAAGGGAACTATAGCGAAGGGGATGCCCCTGTCCCTCTGTTTTGTTCCCATCTCCTGCTACAATCTGGAAGTGCCTTTAAGCTGTCCCACCTAATCACTCCTGCTGTAATCATAGTGACTTTTGGCTTTCCTAGCTTTTCTCGCTCGGTGGTCCGCACCACCCGGCTTGCCTCTTTTCCTCTGCCGGTTACTGAAAACCCTCGCCTGCACTTCGTCCCCTGGCTTAGACCTGCAGCGTTCTCTCTCTTGTCCTGCCGCCTTTCTGGCCCCTCTGCCTCCCGGCTGTATACTCATCCAGCTGACTGTATGGCTAGTAGTTTATTCTTATATCGGTGGACAGTACTTTGCCACTCCCATCCTTGGGGTGCGGGGAGCCCATAGTTAGAGATTGCTGAGCCTCTGAGGTCTCTTTTCTCGTAGACTCAAAGTCCTCTGGCTCACAGCCTCTCAGCCTTGCAGCATCGTGGATGTGGAGGTATGACCCCCGTGGGTTGAGTGGGAGAGTGGGCATCTGCTGAGCCCGGAAGCTTTGGGGAAAGAGGGTGGACGTGGTCACCCCTAGCTTTGAGGTCCTGATGAGAGGTCTGTGTGTGTGTGTTTCAGTTCCTCCCTGTGTACCGCCCCAGCCCGGAGGAAAGCAGGGACCCCACCCTCTATGCCAACAACGTCCAGAGGGTTATGGCACAGTAAGTGTCCCACAGGGTATTTCCTAGAACAGATATACAGGGCAGAGGAACCACAGGAGGGGAAGGAGGGCTGGGGTTTTGAGGCACACATGTGGGGAGGGGAATGGCTAGGGCAGGGGGAAGGGCTATTGGACAAGTGAGGTGGGGGAGGGGAGAGTGAAGGGGGCCTGATCTCTCTGTAGTCGGCAGGCCAGAATCAGTAATGAACCCACAGGCGACTGTTCTGCCTCATTTCCCCTGCTTTCCATCCCTCTTCATCCTCTAGGGCCCTGGGCATTCCAGCCACCGAGTGTGAGTTTGTAGGGAGCTTGCCGGTGATTGTGGTGGGCCGGCTGAAGGTGGCCTTGGAGCCGCAGCTCTGGGAACTGGGAAGGGTGCTTCGGAAGGCTGGGTAAGTGACCTTGAAGATGAGGGTATGGGCAAGAGAAACAAAGAAGAAAAAGGAGAACGGGTAGGAGGAAGAAGAGTCTTTAAAAAGAAAAGGTGGGAAGACAGAGGAATTTTTAAAAAGATAATGGGGTAAAAGGAAGGAGGAAAAAAGAAAGATACTTAATAACCCCAGTGACAAAAGTAGGAATGGCTCTCCAGGGACTATGAGTCAGAGTACATCTTAGAAAAACACCACATGTACCCACACTGAGGCCAGGGTCCTGCTGGGTGATGTGTCCAGAAGGAAACTGAGTCAGCTCTACACCTTCAACAATTCCCTTGTAGGCTGTCCCCTGGCTGTGTGGACACTGAGGCGGCGCCAGGCCGGAGTCGAATGATCAGCCAGGAAGAGTTTGCCAGGCAGCTACAGCTCTCTGACCCCCAGATGGTGGCTGGTGCCTTTAGCTGCTTCCAGCAGGTAAAGGGGCTGTGGGATGCTCAAGATTTAAGTACAGTATCCGAGGGGCCGTGTGGGTGGCCAATTTGGAGTCTGGGCTGGATGCTCTAACAGCTCTTGTTAAATGGACATCTTCTGAGGTCTGCTGGGAGATTCATTTTTTATATAGGGAGTGTCCAGTGCATTGAACAGCAATGTTTTACTCATTGTGGGGAAGAACAATGGAGAAATGTTGGTCAATGAGGTCCATAAATTTCTGAGGCATTTTGGAGATCGGCAGAGATGGGGATCATATGACCTTGTGGGGCACTGGGGGAGGGTTAGGTGGGAAGGTGACATACAGAGGAGACAACATTGGACAGGTTAGACAGTTAAGGGTTTGAGACCCAGAAGTATGTGTAATACTTGGGCAGATTTTTAAAACATATCCCAGAGCTTCTCTGGGGGATTCCTGAACTTTCTCAAGAATCTTGGTGAGCTGTATATTTCCTGGGACTTAACCAGGTTGTCTTGTCCAATTATAATAACCCCAGAAGTTTCATAATGTTTATGACAACTCCCAGTGGTCCCAAGGACTTCTTTTTGACCTAAGATGCAGACCATGGTTCTCAACATCCTCTCAGGGAACAGAGAGTGATCCAGGTGTGCTGATTCCTTGGGCTGGGGCAGCCAGTCCCTGAAAGGAGCTTCCCATCATAGCCCATAGAAGAACAGAACCAAAGCCCAGGTGCCCCAGTCCCACATAGATCTGACACAGCAGGTATCCTCAGGGAGTTTTTTGGTAAGGAATTATGCCAGTGGCCCCCTGTTAGTTTGTTGGACCCGTTCTCCCACATAGGCCAAGTCAGAAGAGAACCAGTTTTTCCAGCTTGGGGTCCAGAATGCCCTGATAGTATATCAGAAACTTGATGGTAACTTCAGCATACCTGAGGGATTCCATCGTTCCTAGGAGATCCCTTTATAGGAGAGTTTTGTCACCAGGCAAACCCATGCCCTGAGAGGACTGTCCGAGATCCCGGAGAGTTTAGGGCTCACGGTTCTGAGGGAAGTGGACACAGGGGTCACCCCCAGGCCTGACGAGAAGAGGGAGGAGCTGAGATCCAGAGCAGGAAGGGGGACACGGGGTTGGTCCCTGCATCGCCCTGGTTTATCTTCCACCCTCCAGGATGCCAGGGGTTTGGTGGACTTCCGAGACGTGGCCCTTGCGTTGGCAGCTCTGGATGGGGGCAGGAGCCTGGAGGAGCTGACTCGCCTGGCCTTTGAGGTATCAGGACGTTGGGGTGGGAGGCACGTGGAGGCTGTGCTCACCCCGCCCGGAGGCCTGTGCGGTGTGCTGTCTCCAGGTGCCTCCGGATGGTAGGCGCTCGGTGTCCCAGGGCCACACTGTTTGAACCGCAGAGCCCCGGCGTCTCTGCCGAGGCCTCACTGGCAACGGGAAGAAGGCAGCAGCCGTGACGATTATATTCAGAAAGGGCCCGGGTGTGGCGGGGGCAGGAGGCCTGGGCTCCACACTCTTGGAAGAGGAGGAGCCTGTCAGACAGACGTGTGGGGCGATGGCACAAGGAGAGAGCTTGACTTAAGTCCCTTTCCCTCCCAGCTCTTTGCCGAGGAGAAAGAGAAGCAAGCTGAGGGGCCCGGCCGCCTGCTGTACAAAGACGGTTTCAGCACCATCCTGCACCTGCTGCTGGGCTCGCCCCATCCTGCCGCCAGGACTTTGCACGCCGAGCTGTGCCAGGCAGGAGCCCGCCAGGGCCTCTCCCTCTGTGAGTCATGGCCTCCCGGGCCCCTTGCGGGCACTCGGAGCGCCACCGGCACTGGGCTGGGAGGGAACAGGGCCGGCAGCCAGCCTGGGGGAACAGGACATCTGAGGGGCAAGGCTGGGAGGAACCAGCTGGGGAGGCAGAGGATGTCAACTTGGATTTGAGACAGTGAGGCTTGAGATGAGAGGAACAGGACATACCAGTTCTGAGAAGAGAGTTGGGGACCACTTCCTCTCCTCTTCAGGTCTTTACTTTCCCGTCTCGCTCTTGCCATGCAGGTGAGTTCCAGGACTTCTCCGTTCACCACCCGCTCCACGGGAAGCTCTTCGGCACCTACCTGCGCCCCTCGCAGACACCAAACGCCTCCTCCCCAGACAGCGCCCCTGCTCTGGCCAACGGGGCCGTGCAGGCCCCCAAGCAGAAGGGCGACTGAGCACCTCGACCTCCCCAGCTCGCACCCGCCCACAGACTCAGGGCAGCGCCAGAGGCCAACCCTGGGCCTCAAGCCCGTCTCTGTCCTGCTTGACTTTTTGTTATCGTTGTTGGTTTTTTTAAGTTGGTTTTCATTTTTTGTTCGTTTGGTCTTATTTTGTAAGAAACTATTTTATATATAAATATATATCTATATCTATTTAAAAAAAAACGAAGCTGTTACATTGGCGGTATCATTAGCTGGGAAGGAAAGGGACTAATGGTTGCAGGCCGCCCATGGGAAGATCCCAAAGGTTCTCAAGGTCAGCCCTCTTGGCCACAGCCGGATGAGTCCTCGTCACTTCCAGACAGATGGAGCATATGCAAATCTCGTATCCTCCCTCCTGTTGTCATACCCTCTAACAGGCCTCCTCACAAACCTCTTTTCAGCTTATTCCCTCTTGTTCTGTCCTCATTAGAGGTTAAAAAATAGCTAATTATCGTTCCATGTTTAATAATCCTACTGAGATTGGTTTCCACCCGCCATAGTAGGGACAGAGACCTGTGTTAGGAACTAACCGTCCTCCCTGCAGCCCAGGGGGTTTCTGCCACAGGATGAATTGGGGACATATAAGTCCCTTCTGTCCAGCTGCTTTTCAATGAAGAAGAAAAGGCCCCCCCTAAAGAAGGTGCTGTGTCTAGTCACAATTATGGAAATTAGTTAGATTTAGAAAATAGATACCTATCCCAGAAATCTGACAGGTTAAAAAGAAGGGCTTTTCCATCTGTGGACTTTAAAAGAGAAACAGATACTGGTAGGGTATCCAGAGGAGCCCTCCCAACACCACATCCAGGCTTCTGATGAGGGAGGAATAAAGTAATCACGGTGGACCCTCAGCACCAGGGCTTATCAGGGGGCCTAGATGAGGCTGGAAAGTCACCTGGATCCATCAGATCCGAGGCCGCCCTCACCTCCTTTCTTCTTTTCAGCATCTTGCCCCATCTAGAGCAAAGACGTGATACAAAGGGGCACACTGAAAGCGTTTTCCAACAACAAAATCTTTATTTTTGTTTTTTTTTCCCCATACAACTTCCAAAGGTACTCCCCCCAACCTCTCACCAAGGGGACCACCTCTAGCCTAGCCCTTTCCCACGCTTGCCACTTTTGCAGAACAACAAAACAACTTAGGGCTGAGAACAACAGTTGGTGTGCCCCGAGGGTGAGATCTACTCTGGGCCCCCCACCGGTGGGACAGGATGGTCCCGCTGCCCGCTACTGGGTACGACGACGTTTCTTCCTCCTGCCTGTGAGGAAACCATCATGCCTTCTTTTACGAGGCTGTGAGGCCCGAACCACTCCCAGAGGCAGGGGTTTCTTCCCAGGTGCCCCAAGCTCAGCTCCCTGGAAGGGCCTCTTTTCAGCAGGGGTTGGGCCTCCAACTAGAGCTCGCTTCCCAGACTTGACAACAGGATACGGAGGCTGGCTGAGGCCTCTTGCCTCAGCAACGAGGGAGTGGGATGCTCTCTGGGCCCCCCGACCCCCTGAGGAGAACAGGCCTGAGGCAGGGCAAAAACTGAGGGGAGGCCCCCTTGGTGAGAGGCTAAGTTTAGAGGCCAAGAGGTGGGCAAAGTTGGAGAATTCCTCGTCCTCCTCGTCCTCCCCTTCCTCGCCTTTGGCCCCATCTGCTGAGCTGCATGTTTCTTTGACAGGAGAGGCTTCTCTCAGAACTAATCTAGGGGAAGTGCTTCTAAGGCCCTGGTGGGGAGCTGTTGATTTGGGCGTCCCGTGTGCGTAAGACTCTGGATCCCCAGGTAAGGAAGCAAGGTCTTTAGGCTCAGAAAAATCAGTATCCTCCCTGCTTTCTCCTTGGGGGTCATAAGAATTAAAACTTAGTGGGCAGGTATCCTTACTGACCCCTAGCTGGAGGCCACCGGCATCCCTAACATCTAGTATGTTGACCTGATCTGTGGCTTCCACCAGGGGAGAAGTGGAATTGCCTCCGCTCCCTGCCTCTGGGCTGGCCTCAGGGAAGGAGGAGGTATCCTGGGTCCCCAGGATAAGGATGTTGCCTTGATTTGCAGGCAGGAGGGTTTCTTCAGAAGCCCCCAGTGTAGAGGCACCAATTCTGCTTTCTAGCAACGGGGGGCAACCTTCAACCCACAGATGCTTGGGATCCCGTAGAGTCTCAGGGCCCTGCTCTCTATTTTCTTTAAGGCTTGAGGCCGGGCTGTTGGCCCTCAGAGGTCCTGACAAGCTGCAGTAGTTTCTCTTTTCTAGGGCAGCTGTGGCATCTGTGCCTCCACAGCTAACTATGCTGCTTCCCACATCCCCAGGTGCTGTGCTTTCTCCGGGACCCAGAGAAATGTTGCTTCTGGAGCCCAATGCCTGGCCGCCCTGCTGGTGCTCAGTTACACATTCCCAATCATGGAAGTTCTCTATGACCTCCTCGATCTGTAAGGGCATCTCCAAGCCTACAGCATCCATCTCACTGCTGAGCCAAACTCCCGGACTGAGGGAGGCCCTGTGCCCGTCCCTATCCCCAGCTGCTCTAGGGGAAGGGTTCTGGTCGTAACTCTGAACCGTGGGAGAACCTCTGTTATCTCCCCATATGGCCCCTGAAGAGCCTTCCTGGGGCACTGCTAATGGCTCCGTCTCCTGGGGAGCCACTCCAAGACCCCCTATCTGTTGTTCAGTCTGCAGCCCCAGGGCCTGCTTTTCTGACCACTGTCCTTGCAGAGGAGGCAGCTCTGCAAATCCAGCATCCAAACTGAGAACTATCTCGAACTGGGGGCCTTCCTGCCAGCAAAGGGGCAGAGCCTCGGGAGTCCTATCACCCACCAGGGAGCACCCAGGGGACTCAGCGCCTCCCAGGTGGCCATCCTGAAGTGGGGCTATCTGGTTTGTAACCTTCCCAGACCCGCTTCTCTCTATACCCAAGGGCCCTTGCATTCCCTGTGGAGCTGCAAGTTCTAGCTGCAGGTCCCAGCCACTGGGGGATGGCAGAGTGTTCCCATCCCTGCACATCCCCCTCAGGCCATCTAAGTCCTGCTCCTGCCCAGCAGGCACTTCTCTTGCCCACTTTCCCAGAGAAGCAGACTTTCCAAGGCAGATGGTGCCCCCAGCCACCCAAAGCCCAGGTGAGGGCCGAGGCCGCCCAACCCCATCTTCATCCTCATCAGAAACAGAAGGACGTGAGTCCAATAGAGCTCCACTGCAGCTTGGAGGTACCTCTGCGTCCTCCTCCTCTTCCAAGGGCAGGAGTTGCTTCTGGACCAGCTAGAAGGAGAATGGACAAATACTGTTCTACATGTGGTTGTGAGAAGGGGTGGCGGGCTGGGTGTTGAGTAGATGATACTTGGGCAGGGCAGGGAACGCAAGCAAGTGGCTTAAGTAACGGCCTCAAAGCCAGATAACCACAGCTCTTCTTTTCCACCTTCTTGGGTCTTATTCCCATGCTTTGAGCCCTTACACTTCCCGTTTCCACAGTCCCTTGCCTACTGGTTCTGCACCCAAAGCAGACTGCTGAAGCTGTTTGTTTCTAGGAGCCACACCATCCAAGACAGTGTAGGGTCAGGTAAAGCCATGGGAGCCTCTCATTCTAATATTCTCTACCTGCCAGGTTTACCTGGACAAGACCGAGTCCTTCTTGTTCCAGCTCCTCAGTTAAGGCCAAGGGATCCCTCTGTTGTTCTGGGGACAGCAGATCTGCCAAAAACTGAGGGTGAATGACGGCCTCCACCTGGGGAAATGGAAGGAAAAGTGATGGGAGTTCTTGACAGGAGATAACGGGAGCCAAGAGGCTCTAGAGAAGCAGCCATGCACCTCCCTACTCACCACCCTCTCCCTGGGCTTTTAGAAAACACCAGCTTCACGCATCCACGTGTGTGCGCCCTTGCACACATATTCCTCAGCATGGAAGACAGTCGAGTCGCCCACTGCCTCGGGCAGAACCCTAGATCTTTGATTCCCTGGAGTTCCCACCCCAGGATCTGCTAGAAACCAGACACCCAGGGCCAGCCCACCTTGGAGACAAAGGCATCCTGAGAACACAGCTCATTGATGTAACTCAGGAGACCCGCATCTGGATACACCCCTTCCTCCTGCCGCTGCAGCTCTTCCTCTTCCTGTTTTCCATCCGACTCCTCGGTGGCCAAGTGGCTCGCCACCAGCCCTTCCATGATGTCGGTGTACTCCTTCACTGCCTCTGGTGGGATCTCCTTGGGTGCCTCAGGAGCCAGAGGCCTCTGGGTCTTGCGCTGCCGCTGGCGGGGCACCCGTGCCTTGGAGGCTGCCTTCTTGGGAATGTACACTGAGGGGTGAAGCAGGAAGGAGAAATGGGAAGCGGCACCAAGGCCTCGGCTTCTGCCTCTCACCCCCATTTGTAAGGGCAACCTGGGCACATTGAGACGGTTCCAGACTGGAGCAGGCAGACCTGACACAGCCAGGGGAGGATATTTCGGAGCTGGAGGGTCTGAGAGAGAATCTGGATGAGGAATCTCAGAACCCCTGAAACTCCAAAGAGCCCCCTTATCCAGCCTCCATTGCTTAGGCAGATGAGGTATCATGTGCCTCAATTACAGTCTCTGAGAGAGAGTAGTTGGTTTACTTAGCCAAGATCAATACCTAGTTTGGGACAAAGGGAACCTGAGAACTCAGCCTCCTATGTATGTCCCGTTTGGAACATCAGATGCCCCTGCCTGGAGGGAAACTGGTAGAAGAACAGGCAATGCCTCCCCTGATCCGTGACTGGTTTCTGCACACCTCCCTTTGAGCTTCTGGCCCACGGCTCCTGTTGGAATTGGGCGGCCTTACCTGCCTGCTGGCAAACCTCGGGGGCTGGGGACCCTGGAGGATCAAGCTTCAGAGGGGCTTCAGGAGGCACGCCCTGGGACCCATTCATCAGCTGTGTGTTCTGAACCTGCATCTCCTCCGCGGCCTCAAACTCCATGAACCTGCAGAGGGTGCAGAAGGCCCAGGCAGTGCTGAGAAGACCAGGATCCATTCGAAACCCAGACACAAGACCCCAGGGTATCTACTCACAGGGGGCTGAATAACAGTTCTGGGGAAAACTCACAAGGTCTCCACATAGCGCCCCTACCTGCAATCGTCACTTAGGAAGCTTGTTAAAACAATCTAGAGCTTGTAAGCTTCACAGGACAGAGCCATGCATGGCTTTTTCCTACGCTACCTCACCCAGCATCGGTGAGGGTATACAGCAGCGATTAATACAGGTTTGTTGAATTCAGTCAGGCCTATGCCACAACCTGGCAAGATCCCACACGTGGGCCGCTCCTCAAGGCCTCCTCTGCCCCTGCCTACAACCATAAAGGATGCCTGAAATCCCAAAGCAGGGCCTGGGTTGCAGTTTAAGGCAGGTTCCCAGCAGGAAGCAGCGCTGAGATCCAGGAGTCCTGAGGCTGGGACTGGGGTCCTGAAAGGGTAAATCTAGGAGGTATGGGTCCAGATTTGGGGGAGAAAGTGATAGTTAAGCTTGGAGGGAAGGGTTCATTCTCCTGAGTTACTTTTTTAACCGAGGAGATTATCATGGAGAAATGGGGGATATGAGCCAGAAGACCACTCTGGGCATCCAGGACCCTGCCCTGACAAACCTCTCCAAGAACCAGCTCCTCCCTAAGATGACAGGCTAAACTGTTTCCAGAGGAGTGGTGGCCCCAAGGTCTGCGTCAGTAGTCACTTGCTACCTGGTCAGCGAGACAGGAAAGAACCTGCCTAGTAGGGCTTCCCTCCTCATTGCTAGGTTCCCTTCAGCATGGATTTTTTTACACCAACCGGGCTCCAATCCCATCCTAAGAGCTTCAGTATCGAGGCCCCTATACAACTCAAGGTCTGGAGAAGGGAGAGCTTCCAAGAGGAGATAGGATAGAAAAGCCCAAGAGTCAAGATGGTGGAAGAAGCAGCGAGGATCCAGGAGACCCTGTGCTAGTGTACAGCTCCCCTCCAGCATCCCTTATAGTAACCATCCACAGCCCAGACCCAAGCCTCTCTTACCTGCTCCCACCCCTCAGCCACGCAGCCCCCCTGGGGAGGATGAGGGTTGGTGGGACTCACTTTTCTGCCATCTCATAAAAGATCATCCGGTCAAGGTTGCTGGTACGTTCCCACTCCTGCACAGCCCTTGGCAGTCCCTCCTCCACAGTCATAGTGGGCTTCCGCCGGGCCAGGGGACGAAGCACTGGGCTACAACCCCCATTGGGTCAGTCACAGTCTACAAATGTACCCCTCCTCCCACCTGCCCTGACACCCACCTCAGGGCACACCCCCGGCCCCTCATCAGATCAAACATGTCCCACAGTCCCTGTCACATCCCACTGCTGATTAGATCCCAGACCCCCAACCTCACATCCATCCATTCACCACACTGGCCTTTCTTCCCACTGAAATTTACAAACCTCCAACAAAATCAGACGGTTCGTCTCCCCACCCTTTAAAATCAACTACCCTGAATTCTCACAGTGCTGTCCTCAACAAAACACAAGGAAGAAAGCGCTCACGTTACTCAATTAATGGCATTCATTGTAAAGTAGGCTGAACCCTGCCCAATGGCTCTTACATTTTTAAAAAGGCACTCCCTAACCCAAATGAATCTAATTAAAGGCTGTGTGGTGTTTTCATTTGTTGGTTTTTAAGTGTTTTTTTTTGCCTCTGGGATACCCATCACAGGCAAATATCAATACTCTTGGAGCTCTTTATGATGCATTTTTGCCTTTCTGACTTCCCATGAGTCCTCAATCATTATTGTGTAGAATCACCTGGGGAAGCTTGTTATAAGCGTGGATTCCAGCGCCCCAGAATCCCAGTTCTGAGCGTCTTAGCAGCCTCCCGGGTGACTGTGGCAGAGGGTCTGGACTGCACTTTGGGGGAGACCCTGCCCAGAGCCCCTGAACGTGCAGAACAGAAATGGGCCAGGAGTTAGAAATTCAGCCTGCCAGCCTCCAAGAGAGAACCCAGAGCTGTCTGCAGCAAGCGGGAAGTCGGTACGGTGATCTATACCAAGGACTTTGGGGGAGCCTTTTGATTTATTCACTCCAGAGTCAGGGTGGAAAGGGGGATTCCTTTAAGCGTTCAGCCACTGGAGGAACAACATATACAGTTGTTTTTTTTAAGTCCAGTAAGATGTGGCATGCGTTATGTGGTGGTTTACACAAAATGCTGAGTGTACAGTGCAGTTGAGACAGACGGCGGGTCTTGGTGGGAAGAAAATTCCCCAGATGGTCAATGACTTTGCTTTATAAACATAACAGCCCATGACCCTGGGCTCCCAGGCCAAGCATCCGCTCACACAGACACTTTGGCCCTTTGTGAGCTCTTCTCCTCTTCTAGATTGCCTTTTAATAATAATAACAATAACAACAACAATAGTAGCTGCCATTTAATGAAGCATTCTCTGTGCCAGGCGCTCTGCTGAGCACTTCACATACATGAACTCATTTCATCTTTTCAGCAACCCTCTGAGGTAGGTATAATCATCCCCTTTCTAGATGAGAAAACTGAGGGCAAAGTTAGTAAATGCCAGGGCCCAGGATGACAAATCTAGTGAGTGGTGGGGCCTTGGTCCTCGACCACTAAGCAAGCTCTACCATCTCCCTATTTCAACTTGAATTCTCCTGAATAAAACAGGGGGCAGTACGGGGAATTCTCTGGCAGTCCAGTGGTTAGGACTCGGTGCTTTCACTGCCATGGGCCCGGGTTCGATCCCTGGTTGAGAAAATAAGATCCCGCAAGCCGCGAAGCGTGGCCAAAAAAACAAAAACAAAAAACCATGGGGCGGTAGAGAGGGTGGCACACAAGCTCCTCAGCCCGGCCGCGCACCATCCTCCCCTCCCAGCACTCCTCATCCTGGCCGGTTTGGACAGCTCAACTCCATGCCAAAAGGTAGTAAAATAGAACGGGAGGGCCCTGGCACTCAGTATCAGAGACCCAAGTTCCAATCACTGCTCTGAGCTTCAGTCTTCTCATCCATAAATGAGGATGCCCATCAAAATGCCTGCCTGAACTCACAGGGTTGTGAAGATCACTTGAGAGGAGACACCTGAAAGCTCGTTATCATCTGGCACGTGGGTAAAGAGGCTTGTTACCGTTGCTGCCGTCGTCGTCATTATTTTCATTATCATAGCATCTCCAGCACCCTCATCACCTGCCCTCAAGTATTCCTAAATAGCCTAACCTCTTTTGTCCATCCCCAAATCCTCCTTATTTAAAAGCCTCTAGAATAATGAATCTCAGGTCTCTTCACTTACATAAGAAAGCAGGAAAGGGCCTCTGCATCAGGACTTTGGGATAAGTGCCTCCTTGCCAACGCTTTGTAGTGCTGCCAGCATTGGAAATTCTCATAAACACCCTTGGAGGTATAAGAGAGGTCATCCAGTGAGGGCTTGGATCGGGCAGCCGCAGGACCTCCTTCCCCAGTTGCCCCATGCGGCCCTGGTGAAGCCTTTTCCGGGGGCACGATGGGGGCCAGTTGGGCAGCTGGTAGTGGAGCCTGAGTAGGAAGGCCTGGGAGGCCCTCCTGGCTCACGCCAACTGCCTTCGGGGGCAGAAGGGTCTTCACATTAGAGGCTGTCAGGAATCCGGGGGCAGGACTCTCAGCGCCCCCGAAGGGAGCGCCTGAGGCAGTCCAATTGAGGGCGGCCTGAGTAAGGATAAAGTTCTGAGTTTGGGAGGGCTCAGCTGGCCCTCCTTCTGTCTTGACTTTGACAGTGACCTTGCCAGCTCCAGCTCCACTGGGGCCAGGGCCCCCATCCCCTGTCACCAACAACGGGCTGGGGAAAGCAGAGAGCACCAGAGGGTTGCCTGGAGAGAGTGCCGAAGGTACGGGGTGCTGCGAGGGCGGCCCCCAGGGTGGTTGGTCTGGTGGGCCAGGACCAGGCTGGGGGAAGGGAAATGCAGTGAAGGGAGACAGGGCAGCGCCAGGCTTCACGGTAATGTCGGGTCCTGGCAATGGAGACGCTGCAGAGACAAAGAAAAAGAGGGTCTGGAGTAGGAGATGAGGAGACCAGAAGCTAGGTCATCTGAGTTCCACTCTAGTCCCTGAAGAATCAGAGCACTGATTCTCAACAGGTGAGGGAGGGGGGACATGTATAGTTTGCAAATGTCCCCCAAGTATTTCTGATGTCCCTTACTCCCTGCTGAGAATTAGTGCACTAGGGAAGCAAGCTGCAAGGACCCTTGGGCCCACGAGTTCATACCCCATAACACATGCCACCCAGCATACGGGCACATTCCAAACACCCTCACACAACCTGGATTCTGCTCCCAGCTGCTCTGTGGTCCCTGCCACCAGGCGCAGAAGCACTGTTCCCAGGAAGGGGGTGTGTGTGCATTAGATGTTTTGTTCCCAGGAATTTTGTTACATAACAGCCAGGAATGACTAGAGATAAGAGCCAGGAAATGGGTAAGGGGAAGGCCGTGTGGGGAGGGAGGTTTCCAGAGCTTTAAGGAGATGTGGTACCTATTAAAACGTTATCTGTGATCCTTCTGCTTGGAACTCCTAATGTCAGAAATTTAGAGTCCACTTTTGAACAAGGCACTGACAATGAAGTCTGAAACACAGTTCAGGGGCTATGTGGACTCTAGTCAAAGAGACCAGGGATAAATACATAAAACGTGTACTTAATTAATCAGGATGTGTGTCTCCTAGGACTTTTAATAATAGTAGTAGAAGATCATCTGCCTAATTTCATGCTACTCTCCTTCCGCTCTTATAAAGAATATTCCACTGGCAAACTAACAACATTCAGCTTCCGCTGCTTCCTGATCATGAAGGAGACATGGAACACGAGCAAACCCTTCACCTCAACCACAGAGCAGAGGGCCAGGAATACTCCCCGAAGTATGGAACACAGTGAAATGGGTCTGAAGGCCTGAGTTCCACGAAAGGTAGAAAGACACAGCATCTCAGGGAAGCCCCAGTTCTCATCCCTGCTGGAGCGACCCACTTCCCCTGGCCCTGGGAAAGCGAGGAAAACTGCTCCCTGAGCTAGAAGAGAAGCCCTCGCTGGGGCTGCAAGGAGCCAAGAGGCTCTAAGCAGAGGCACTTACAGCACCTTCTGGTCTAGCTTCTGAGAGGACATTTCTCTACAGACTTGGCAACAGATGACCCCACTGAACAGTTTTCTGGCCAGGGCTTCCACTCCCCTCCACCCAATAAGAGTGAGAGCAGCCCCAGCTCAGTTCTCTCAGGGCAAAATTCTAGAGCAGCCTCCAATTGCCTAAAGAAGACACCAGAACTTGAGTCTTCCCTTTGAAACCCTCTATGTCCCTCGTACCACACACCCCTGCCTGTGCCACACAAACACATGTTGAAGGAATCCCTCTTCCAGAGAAATAAGTTGCTAACTACCATCCCTTCTCTCTACTCAGCACTTTCCTCTGAGGCACTTTGATCTGCCACTCAGGAGGCCCTCTTCCTTCCCCAACCCATAGTCTTAATGGCACAATCTCCTTCCCCAGCCTCCCCAGGTGTGATGCCTTTGATGGGGTCTAGTGTTCTCACATCCCTCTAGGTCAGCCCAGAGAGCTGGTTCCCATGTAAAGTGTCAAGTTTTGAATGTCCAAGGGCGGAGCAGGTGGCAGGGACTTTCCCCCCACCTGCAGACTCACCACCATCTGAAGACATCCTCTCAGGTTTGGGCACTAACCACGGCTGTCTGGAAGCCTCCAGAATGAGACAGTCAGGTACAGGACCCAGAGAGTAACCTGGCTCCAGTAGATACACAGGATCCAAGGAAGGGAGGGTAAAGATCAGATCAAAACAGGACTCAAACAGGACTCAAGGCATTCTAGGACTCACGGCATTCTGCAGTGGGGGAGGGGAGGGGGAATATAGGGTGAGGTTAGGGAGATATTCCATGAAGGGCAGTAACCAGGAATTCCCTCCAAACCAGAGTATGGCAACCCAATTGTTGTGTATCTCTTTAGGACAACTTGCAAATTCTTTCTCAGATTCCCAATCGCATAGTTTTACATCCCTGTTCCCTATACAATTCTTTACCAATATATCTAGTTTTGTGCCTTTCAATTACACCCAGTTCTGGTACCTGACTTCCTATTAATAGCAGGTTGTGGCGAACTCTTGACAATTCAATGTTGGCTGTATTTTCTAAACCAAATTCAGAGTACCTAGTCTGTATATTTAAGGATCAAGGGAACAGAATGCTTGAAATTAGGGTTGTCTCAGAAGATCAAGGGTGTTGAATTACTGTATGCATATCATTTCCTTGGAAAGCTGTCCTGCAGTTCCCAAATAAACCACTACCATCAGCTCTGCAGTCCACAGAAGGCTTAGCCTTACCCTTGGCTGAAAAGCCTCCCACTCTATCAAAGACTGCCATTCAGCCTAAAATTTCAAGACCAAAATGTCCTTCTTTTCGTCTGTTAAATTATTTTTGTTATTTTAAATTTTTGTTAAATAATTTTATTTTATTTTATTTATTTATTTATTTTTCTGGTACGCAGGCCTCTCACTGTTGTGGCCTCTCCCGTTGCAGAGCACAGGCTCCCGACGCGCAGGCTCAGCGGCCGTGGCTCACGGGCCCAGCCGCTCCGCGGCACGTGGGATCTTCCCGGACCGGGGCGCAAACCCGTGTCCTCTGCATCGGCAGGTGGACTCTCAACCACCGTGCCACCAGGGAAGCCCAGTAATTTTAATTTTTTAAACGGGTAATAATACATCAGCACGGTTAAAAAGTCAAACTATGCAAAATGGCATACACAGCAAGTCTCCCTCCACTTCTTTCCTCTGGAACCAAGTTCTTTATCCCAGAGGAAACCGGATTTCTTCTGAATCCTTGCAGAGGTATTTTATGCAACTACAAGTAACCAGAAGCTATACTCTTAAAAAAAAAAAAAAAGCTTTCCGGTTTTTCTGTTAATAAAATTAATATATGTTACAATGTCTTTGCTGTTATAAGTAGTACGGTAACGATCACCTTTCTAATGATATCTGGGTTCCAATTTTCATTTCTTTAAACTAGAGTCCTATAAGGAGAAATTGTACGTTCTTTTAAAAATTCGCAATACCTCTAGGAGGTGCATCTTATTATGCTATTATTAGCTACTCACCACTATAAGAAAGAACGTTGAATTTGTGGTAGAGACCTAAGTTTGAATCTTGGGTCGACCACTAAAACATACTTCACGAGTTTCATAAAATAACTTCACGCTTTCTTTGCCGAACGGAATACTGAATACCCATCATGCACTCTTTGCCGCCAATACTTTGAAATAGGGCGAGGGAACCGGATGTAAAATCGGGGAGGGAAGAAAACCTTATTCTTTCTTCCCTGAGGTAAAAGGGGCTCTGGATCCTGGAGCCCTGGGTTTTCCAGGTGCTAGAAACCCATTGCCTCTGACATGGGTGTGAATTTTGAGATAAAGACAGGATTCTATTCATTAATGTTCAACCTGTATCCATCCCTACCCCCCTCCAATGCCTAGAAGTGCCTGGCACACAGTGGGCACACTCCACGTGTCTTAGAACGCCCGCCCGCAAGGTTGCGCCTGGGTTGCAACTGGCCGAGTCCTGCGCTAGTGCGCCCCCCTTCTGGCCAGCTGGAGAAAGACATAAACTGGACTACATTTCCCGGCGCGCTTTGAGAGCGAGACTTCCCGGCTATCCAGGAAGGAAATTGACACGTGAGGCCTTCAGTTAAGAGGCGCTGCAGACTGAATGAGAAGCTCTCGCTTCTGTGTCGTCATGTTTCTCCAGTATTACCTCAACGAGCAGGGAGACCGGGTCTACACGCTGAAGGTGAGAGGAGGAAACAGGTTGTATATGGGCATGGCGAGAAATGCCGTTGGGAGGAACGGTCGAGACGAGCCCGTCAGTTGCCTAGGTGGGTGGGGGGGACTGGAAAGCCCAGAAGCCAGGCGTTGTAGAGGCTCCAGGAGTGTGTGGCTTCTTGATCTGAGCAGTCGCGGCTCCTGTCTTCATGTTTACCCTTTTCGCGCGGCCTCCTCCCCATCCCAGCCTCCATTTCCCTCACGACGCCAGTGATTGGGTTTTCCCACGACTCCAGTACTGAGATTATGTTCTCTCTTTCTTCCTCGAGCAGAAGCTTGACCCTATGGGACAGCAGACCTGCTCGGCCCACCCTGCTCGGTTCTCCCCAGACGACAAATACTCTCGACACCGAGTCACCATCAAGAAACGCTTCAAGGTGCTCATGACCCAGCAACCGCGCCCCGTCCTCTGAGGATCTCTTGAAATTTCACGTCTCTTCTGCCGCCTGCTAGCCCTCAGGAGACTTTCTGAAACCAAGCTCTTCCATCCGTGAGCCTTGAAGTCTTGCTACGACCCTTGCTCCTTGCATCCGGTCTCATCCTTGCCTTTGATCATGCTTGTGGTGAGGCCATCATGGTAGCATCCCCTTTAAAGGGAAGATGTTTGAATCTTCTTTTCATACTTTGAATCACTGCCAGGTTATTAAAATGATTTGAAAAAGCTCTTATTTTGTATGTTGTGGGAAGAAAGGAGTGGTTTAAAAACGAAAACGAGGGAGATGAGAGGGAAGAGTGCCTCAGGGGTACAAAAGACCACTTTGAGTGCCCCAGGGGTACAAAAGACCACAAAAGAAACTTCAGTGGCTTCTGTAGCGGGAGCAGTGCTGTGCTTTGAGTCTTAGAAGTGTGCTGGGGATGGGGAAGAGAGCTTGAGAAAGACTCCTGTGCAGCTGTCAGCATCCACTGAAAAATACCCGTGTGCTCACTTAAGTAATTTTTTTGTCCCTTGAAATGACATCTGACTGAAAATGGAAGAGTTGCTTGAAAAATAACAGCAGCTATATTGTAGAGAAAAGGCATTGAATTGGAAGCCAGGAGACCAGGATTCTCCCCGCTCTGTATACCTTTGAGAAAGTCAACCTGTTTAGTTCCATTTTTCTCATCATTTCTAATTGCTCTTCTAACTCTAAAATTGATAGGGTTCAGTGGTGGAGCTTAATGTACCTACAGTGTTTGTCCAACCGTTGTGAATAGGAATGCCTTTATTTACCGCCCCTCTGGAAATATTCCCAGGCTTTTAGTTCTCTCTTACATACACCTAACTTTATATTCTTTCTGGTAGCTAGCTGGTATGTGGAACTCTACATGGATTTTACTACTTTTTAAAATTCATTTATTTATTTATTTATTTATTTTATTTTTTGCGGTACGTGGGCCTCTCACTGTTGTGGTCTCTCCCGTTGCGGAGCACAGGCTCCGGACGCGCAGGCTCCGCGGCCATGGCTCACGGGCCCAGCCGCTCCGCGGCACGTGGCATCCTCCCGCACCGGGGCACGAACCTGTGTCCCCTGCATCGGCAGGCGGACTCTCAACCACTGCGCCACCGGGGAAGCCCTACATGGATTTTAATTTAGAAGATGAGGTATGAGAGATTCGAGCAGGGATTTTTGTTGTTTTTCAAGCTACTCTTGGGTGTTAATTTTTTTTTTTTTTTTTTTTTAATCCTGGAAGATTTCTTAGGACTTGAGCTTCTATTATGGGGCAACCATAAATTTTTAATCCAATTACTTCATATTAGAGGGATGATGAGGCAAAATGTCGTATACAGGCATTCAAGAAATGCTAGCTTCTTCCTTTCCTTATCAAGTTAATCAAGTCAATCAAGTCAGTGTTTCCCAATCTTCTCATTCATGGCCTTTGACATTGAATTTGAATGTTTGCTTTGTGCCACTGATTTTAAAATTGCTTTGTGAAGTTTGCATTCCAATGATACAGTCTTCTTTTTCTACAATATCAAAGATTCTAGACTCCAGAAGCAGATGTAACTTAAATCAGCACAAATTTGATTTATCAAGACTGGCCCTGGGGGCTTCCCTGGTGGCGCAGTGGTTGGGAGTCTGCCTGCCGATGCAGGAGACACGGGTTCGTGCCCCGGTCGGGGAGGATCCCACATGCCGCGGAGCGGCTGGGCCCGTGAGCCATGGCCGCTGAGCCTGCCCGTCTGGAGCCTGTGCTCCGCAACGGGAGAACGGTGAGAGGCCCATGTACCGCAAAAAAAAAAAAAAAAAAAAAAAAGAAAGACTGGCCCTGGAAAGGAGTAAATAATGTTTCTCATGGACTCTGATGTCTGACTGTCCCAGCAGAAAAGTTCAGGATAGTTGTTGACTGCTGAGAAAAAAACATCTCTAGACTTGGGTCATAGTTAATAGAAGACATGATTTTCAATCAGTTACTTAAATTTATGAGAATGGTGAAATGAGATAATTATTTCCTGTCAAGCAATTTTTTATTTCTTAGCCTGTTCACTGAACAAGGTTCTTAGCATAGAATCTGAGGGATTTTAAAGAGTCGTCCTATCCTATTAGGGGTTAATGATCGAAGAAATGTTAGAAATTCTGCAAATGACTAGGAAAAGTATCTGCTATGGAAGTTTTTTTAAGAACTAAAGTCAAGGGAGTTCCCTGGCAGTCCAGTGGTTAGGACTCTGAGCTTCCACTGTTGGGGGGTTCAGGTTCGATCCCTGGTCGGGGAGCTAAGATCTGGCATGGCCAAAATAAAAAAGAAAAGAACCAAAGTCAGTAAACGAATGCTATCATTTTTTAAAAAATGTTGACTGTGATTCTGTCTTTATAAGTTACCCCCCCCCACCAAAAAAAGGATTAGCATTTTCCATGCTACTTACTGTGTAGACTGTAATGGAAAGGCAAATTGGTGTGAATATACCGAAAATTTTTTTCCTTAAGAGATCTCTTAGGTTTGAGCACATTGTGTGATGTGCTCAGAAATGGGAGAAGAGTCTTAAGAAATATAGTATAAAGTGAATGAAAATTCACTGTGGTATGAAACAAAATTCGATGTTGTAGAAATCCAGGATTTTTTTTTTTTTAATGAAGGGAAAGTCTGTAAGATTTGAATGAACAGCAGGCATGCCTGAGGAGAAAACTGATCCCTCAGGGAGGTAAATTTCTTCCTTCCTCAAGTAAGAAAGCTGTAAGCCTGAATGAATAATCACAGGCTTTATAAAGAATCAAGCTTTGAGGAGATTTACATTCTAAATAGGAATTTAGTTTCCATTCTGTTACCTGGATCTTTTAAACCGGACATTGGACTTTGTGTGTCATTTGATAAAAGGGAATTTACTGTCTCACATCTTAAATACAGTTGTGATCTATTACTAGGGATGATCTTAAACATTTCCACTTGTGCCGAGCAAGGACCCAGACAAAGCCAGGGCCCAGATTGTTGAATTTAAATGTCTGGGTAAATAACAAGGTCCTGTGGTATAGCACAGGGAACTATATTCAATATCCTGAGTTAAACCATAATGGAAAAGAATATTAAAAAAAGGATGTCTCTATGTGTATAACTGAGTCACTTTGCTGTACAGCAGAGATTGGCACAGCATGTAAATCAACTCTACTTCAATGAAAAAATAAAATTAAAATTAATGTCTTGATCAAAGCTCTAGGAAATAATTTTCAAACAAAACATTGATGAGTCAAATTTATTGAACACCTCTATTCATGCATTAAATAAACATTCTCAGAAAAATATTCTGGTGGCAGTAGTAGGGAAAACACTGAATGGAGTCAAGAGAAAGTATCTCAATGGCTTCTCCAGGTCTAAAATTAAAGACGCTTTCTTTAATGGAGCTTTCAGTCTGACTAGAAAATGAATACAGCATTTTTTTTTTTTCCAGTTTTACTGAGGTAAAATTGACAAAATTGTATATATTTAAGGTGTACAACTGTGATGATTTGATAGATGTATACGTTGTAAAAAAACCCAGCACTTTTTTAAAGGACAAGAAAAAAAAAGGTAGCCCAAACTATGTATAAATTTGAGCATACAATGCTTTATAATAGACCACTACGTAAAAACTCCAGTGAGGGTCATACCCAATATATACCATATATTGGAGATATATGGTATTGAGAGGTTTGTAATTTTTAAAGAAATTATGAGTGGTGTTTTCAGGGACACTCTTAGTAAAGAGAGATGGTTTCTGAGGGTCTGAGAGGCACTGCCTACCTCCAGAATGAGTTTGTGCAACACAGCAGGACCACAACACAGCAGGACCAAGAGCGAAAAGCGTTTGTTTTCTCAGATGCAGGCAGCTCAGGACCCCACACCCAACTACAATTCCCGTCATGCTCCGGGCCTCCCACGCTCGGCCCCGCCCCTCGTCCGCCAGTCCCGCTGCGACCGGGCGAGCGCATGCGCGGAGCCTTCTCCGCCACTTCGCGGGCTGCAGAGACTGGGCGGGGCTTTCGGGTGCTCGTGGGAGTGTGACGCCCTCCGACCGCTCCCCCAGGTTTCTCTTCGGACCGTTAACCTCGAATGAGGAACGAGCGGGGAAGAAAGGGAGGGGCTGCGGCGCCGCCGGCACAGCCCGCCGGGCCCGGGGCCGGGGGCGGCGAGGTCACGTAACTGCTGCTCTGGCATCTGACCGGGAAGGAGGCTCCCTCCCCGGCAGCCCGAGCCCCCCTACGCCCGCCGCGGCTCGGAAACAGTTACCCGAGGGTAAACAACAGCTGCGCGCGCATCCGAATCAGCTGGCGCCGGGATCCCGCACCTGCGACCTCCTGCTACCCTCCTCCTCGCCGCTCCCTCCTGCTCAGCCAGGGCCAGCCTGCGAGGCCGTCTCCTCTTCTGTTAGGACCCGAAGGAAGAACAGCGAAGGGGCTGACCTTGCGCCGGGGCCCTGGTAGGGGAGGAAAGCGTCTCCGGCAAAGGGGTGGCTCGTCCTATCACACGCAGGAGAAACCCAGAAAACCGATCGGGGGCTCGATGGACTAGCAGCTACCTCCCACGACCCTGAACTGCAGTCCGCGGAGTATCGATCCGCTAGCCGCCTCCTCCCAGATCCCAGGGACCTTTCTGCCAGAAGAGCGGGAGGGCCACCCCCGCAGACCTCTCGGAGGCAGGAATCCGCTTTGCCCCTGCAACCTCCTCTCCTCACCCTTGTCTCATTCTTTTCCATCCATAGTGTGCGATATTTTTCCCGTTATGCATGCTCACCTCTCCCACCAGACCCAAGTGGATTATCGGCCTCAAAAACATCGGGTGGCTCTACACACATCTCCTCCCAGCCAGACCTGTGGGGTATTCACCTGATACACAACAGGTGGTCGGGTGTACACCGTTTCGCAATCTGATCTATACTGTCTATATTCGCCTGATAAGGGTGGGCCTCTGCGCACTTTGCTCATCTAGCCGTGGGACATTTACAGATAAGGGACTAACTACCTCGGCAGAAACCTTAAGGTCGAGGAGAGAAAGCCTTCGTCACCTGCTTCTCTGAGACCATGGCTGTCTGCCCGCATCCCTGGACCAGGGGAGATGACTAAGATAGCTCTTCATTCTGAAGGAACGAAGTTACACGAGATTGTCATCGTTTGTCTGTTTTTTTCCTTAAATATTTTTCAGCTGCTGGTAGTGTACTTTTTAGGACAGGCGGCTTGAATTCTGAGTAGAAGGATTCTTATATATAGTGGCTTTTTGTGTGGTGTAAATCAAGGTAATTGAGAGTTTTTTTTTTTAAGTTATCTTTTCTATTTTTGCAACCAAAATTGCTAGCGTAGGAGGAAGGATTTTGCAGGGTTTTTTCTTTTTTCTTTGTCCTTATAAAGGAAAAGAAAAAGAAAAATGCATCCTTCAGAAAACACCACCAAGATGGCTTCAGTTCGGTTCATGGTGACACCAACAAAGATCGATGACATTCCAGGTTTGTCAGACACCAGCCCGGACCTCAGTTCTCGATCCAGTTCCCGGGTAAGATTTAGCTCCCGGGAAAGTGTACCTGAAACAAGCCGTAGTGAGCCTATAAGTGAGATGTCTGGAGCCACCAGTTCACTGGCGACTGTTGCACTGGATCCGGCTAGTGACCGGACTTCTAACCCCCAGGATGTTACTGAGGGTAAGTAGAAACACAGACAACAAAATATTTACATTACTGGCTTATTTGTCCAGGATGACAATATACTGAGAAATCATTTTTCCATTATAGAATAATCATCAGGAACCAAGGTACCTCTTTTTGAGATGCTTAGGAACCCTTTGGAATAATGGTTAGCATAGTGGATCTCTGCAATAGTAGTTTGGCGTGTGCGAAGGTATATGGCAAGAAGGAAAGTAGATGTATGTTTTGACTTCCTCATTTTTGTCTTCTTAGAATTGAAATGGGTATTTTGGTTAAGGATGAATATCAAAGAATTTAACAATTTTCCAGCATGGAGAATCCTAAATTGTAAAATTTAGTGGAGAGTTGGCTTTGGGGCTCCAACTGTTAACAGTTTGCTTTTAAGGCCAGTTATGAGTAGTTATCGATCATATCTTAGTTACTGGCTCTCCTGCAAAGACTTCATATACTGTATCACAAAATTCTTTTTAAAAAATTATATTTTACAGAGACAGTGGTTCGAGTAGCACAGCTCACTCAGTGTGAGGCTGGGTAGATCTGAGGGGGCTATCCTGTCAAATGGAGATTTCTGATTCCCACATAATTTCTTCACTTTGAAGTTTAGATGGAATGTACTGAGGGCTGAGACTTTGTAGTCAGGAAGTAGCACACAAGCTACTTCTGACTTATATTGACCACTGCAGACGTTCAGCTTCCTAAATCAATTTGTGTCTGCGGGCTTGGAGGTTTTCATTGGGTTTAGTGAGAAAGAGGTGATGAGATAAAACAGAGAGGTCATAACATTTTTCGGACTCTGAAGTAGAAAAGTTTGAGAAGTGCCATACTGCTTTATATATTTAGTTTTATGCTATGTTCTAACAAACGTAGATCTGTCAGGTAATGAAAACTTCTCTTAAGAATCTTCAAGGTTCTTACAGTGATATTCTACCCACATTTGAAAACCGTAGCTTCAGCCACTGAATTGCCATTTTCCGGTGTCAGGAAATATTGTTCCTCCCTAACCTAAAGGGTGCAGGAAACCAGAATGATTTTAGTTCCTTATTTCTGTTTGTGTTTTTTAATGTCTGGAGACAAGGTAGATTTGGTAAAGTTTATAGTCCTAGAATTCACTTATCCTTGACTAATCTTTTTTTTTATGAAGACATTACAGGTCGATTCTTGGACTTTTAACAATTTTCAACTTCTTGACAGACTTTATACTATGTACCATGGTGTTAAAATTACATTATGGAATAAAAATTAATTCATCATTTTCTCTTATTACAAATTTATTCTTAGTTGTAGTTTTAGTTTTTACACATCATACTTCTTTTTAGGTTGTAAAAATACCAGATAAGACTGTAAGTGTTAATTTTTTTAATGCTGTAACTGTCATTAGGTAATTTATAGTTAAGTGTTGTTGGGTTTGTGACTTATATATTATGGAATTGTATTTTTATTCTGTTTTTAAAAGTGGACTTATTTCAGTAATGTGTTAGTTAGCCTTGCAGAAACGGGATCCTTTTCCAGGCTTCTGTCCTTATCTATAAGCATTCTTTAAGGTCTAGAGTGGTATTACTTTACACCATAAGGTAAAACTGGGGACGTGTCTAGGTAAAATCTATCTCGTTTAGCTGGGTACAGAAGTTAAAGCTTGGTTCTGTACCTAACATCTTAATGTTTAAATAGTCTCTGGTACCAGAGAAAGGGAAATTAACAATCCAGCCATTAGATCGCACTTTTCCCGAGAGTATTCTTGGGAATCGAGTTTCCTAATTTCCCAATGACCTATTTTTCTCTTACTGTCTTTAAAAAAAATTCTTATGATGATCATCCTGTGATATATTTCCCACACCATCAGATGGAACTTGTTAGAAATGTAATTATTTCACCTTTGGCCTTGTAATATGCAGATACCCTTACTGGACTTAGATGTTGATCTTCAAAGGATGCTGTTGTCAAGAAAATCAAGGACATGTGTTCATCTACATTTGTCTCTGGGTTGGATTTAGTATAGGAAAACAACTACTTCCTCTTCTACAGTGGGCTCTATCCTTAAGTTCATAATGTATTTCAGGATTGTGTTTGCTATTTTACCATTTAGAATTTTGTGATTTTTTTCTTTGGTGGGGGGACCCTTTTTACATCCTTCAGTGGTTGCGACATTGGTATCATTCTCTCTCCTTTCCCCACAATTCCCATGCCTCCCACATTTCTTCCCACCTTAAATTCCTTATCGTGTCATATACCTTTTATTCACATTACATTGCACAACCAAGGTGGGGTGACACACCAAATTTTAAATATTTATTTCTATCTGTGTTTTAATTTTTTTCTACTGTTGGCCTTTTGAGTAGTAATTATCTTTCTGCTATCAAAGTGTTTATAGTTCTTTTTCATTTTGTCAAGGTTCCGTTAGAACTTATGGGACTGTCAAGTTGGTAAATAAAATCAGCGATCTTAGCACTGTACTTGCTTATGCATGAAGAATGCCTTAAAGGTACAGAAGGAACTGCTGAGAGTGGATACCTCTGGACAGTTATGAAAATAGAGTGGAGAGTGGGAATTTTCCTTTATCTAAACAATTCAGTAGGGCATGTACAATTTTTTATATTGAGAGTGTATCACTTTTGTAATTAAAAAAATTTTATGAGCCATAGCATGTTAGTTAGGGAACCTCAGATGATCAAGAATCAAATTCTGGTCAAAGCCCATTTTAATAAATGGGGAAACTAAGGCTTACAGAGATAGTTATTTGTAGATCATGAGTGGCAGAGCCAAGACTGAAATGCAGGCCTCCTGACTTCTGTCCAGGGCTTTCCATTACATCATTTTGCCTCTGCCATGATGAACATTGTGTACATTTGCCTCATAACTATTTGGTTAACTTAAATGATTGTTAAAATAATAATACCAAAATAGAGAAGAGAACATATTTTTATATGTCTTATACATTTTCTAATAACATTTCAACCTTTTACAATTCAACAAATGCTCCCTGAGGCTCTGATATGTGTGAGGCACTCCAGTAGGAATTATAGGAAATGCTCAGGTAAAATATAGGTTCTGCCTTTGGAGTGCTCATGGAAATAGTGGTGAAAATGACAAGAACACTTGCACCAACATTTACTGATCAATTATTATGGGCCAGGCTCTGTTCTGGGTGCTAAGCATGCAGGACTGAGAAAAAGAATCCAATTACTGTTCTAAGGAAAGTTATGATCTAATAGAGAAAGCAAACAAATTTTCATATAAATTATAATGCTGTATGATAAATGCAGGAATAGAAGTATAAATCAAAATACAAAAAAAATACAGCAAATTTTAGAATAATACAGTAGAAAAATATAGTTAAGGAAAATGATGAACTGAGGTAAAATGGAGACACTGAGAGACTGGAGGACTTGACGAGGTAAAAGTGATAGTGAATGATGTAGAGGGATTGAAGACTGTGATCAGACAGATGAATGTTGGGGTTAATGGATTCAGAGGTGGGGCAGTTCCAGTGTTGACATGATGGAGTGTGCAGCCTTGGGAGTGGGTTTCTGAAGTGGAATAAAAATAAAAGCCAGTTGAGTCAGAACCTCTAAGTGTACCAACTTGGAGGCTGGCTGTCACCAAGTTTTATTGAGGGATGTTAGCTGGTAGAGATGCAGAAATTATTTAGATAAGCCCCTCCTTCATGGAGCCACCTCTGAAACCTTTTCTTATTTAACCCGACACAGCACGTGGGATCTTCCCAGACCGGGGCACGAACCCGTGTCCCCTGCATCTGCAGGCAGACTCTCAACCACTGCGCCACCAGGGAAGCCGTGGGATCTTCCCAGACCGGGGCACGAACCCGTGTCCCCTGCATCTGCAGGCAGACTCTCAACCACTGCGCCACCAGGGAAGCCGTGGGATCTTCCCAGACCGGGGCACGAACCCGTGTCCCCTGCATCTGCAGGCAGACTCTCAACCACTGCGCCACCAGGGAAGCCGTGGGATCTTCCCAGACCGGGGCACGAACCCGTGTCCCCTGCATCTGCAGGCAGACTCTCAACCACTGCGCCACCAGGGAAGCCGTGGGATCTTCCCAGACCGGGGCACGAACCCGTGTCCCCTGCATCTGCAGGCAGACTCTCAACCACTGCGCCACCAGGGAAGCCGTGGGATCTTCCCAGACCGGGGCACGAACCCGTGTCCCCTGCATCTGCAGGCAGACTCTCAACCACTGCGCCACCAGGGAAGCCGTGGGATCTTCCCAGACCGGGGCACGAACCCGTGTCCCCTGCATCTGCAGGCAGACTCTCAACCACTGCGCCACCAGGGAAGCCGTGGGATCTTCCCAGACCGGGGCACGAACCCGTGTCCCCTGCATCTGCAGGCAGACTCTCAACCACTGCGCCACCAGGGAAGCCGTGGGATCTTCCCAGACCGGGGCACGAACCCGTGTCCCCTGCATCTGCAGGCAGACTCTCAACCACTGCGCCACCAGGGAAGCCCCAGATCAGTTCTTTAAGTCCCTATATCTCTTATACAGGCTACTACTAGAGCACCTATTTCACTGAATTTTGTTTTTTTATTTGTTTGTTTACATATTATCTTCCTCGGTTAGGCTGTAGGTTCTTGAGGACAGGGACCTGAAGAGCATAATGCTGTCGACTGAAAAAAAATGCACAACCTAAAAGTTGAGAATTACGTTTTACTTGACAGACTTACTGAGGACTTAAACCCTCATACAGCTCAGACAACCTCTCATACAGCTCTGAGGGACTGTTGTGAAGATGTAAGGGAGGAGCCAGGATATATAGGAGTTTTTGCAAAAAAACCAAGTCGTCGAAACATCAAAAGATTACTGCTAATTAAAGAAAACCAGACATCTCAAGTTATTGAATTTAGTGCTGTTCTGTGTATGAGAAGATGCGAGACTCTGGGCTTATTGAAATTATTCCTTTGAGATGCGCCTTAGCTATCTAGGGCCAGTATCCTGTTTTTCTCCATCTTGAATCCCCTCAGGGTGCACCATTGGGGGTGGC